GTAGCACAACTGGTGCGCTGCAGGACAAGATCTTGAAGACTAATGGCAACCTGCCGAATCATGAAGATGGACCAACCTTGTTCAAGGAAATGATTGACACGACCGCCGTGTCGTCTGTCCTTGTTTCCATGCAAGCAATGACCGCATTGGCCGAACTCGATCCTGGTGACTTCGAATACAAAATGCCCTCTGTGAATATTGAATTAAGACCCCGATCCACGAAAACCCCCCCTTCCCATACCCAATATCACCATAGAAATCCAAATTGGTCATTTTTTAAAGACGTCGCAATCTAACGCCGATTAGACGGTTCGACGCGCATTCATTCTAGGATTTTAGCCCTATGCTCGAAACCGGTTTGCGACAATTTTTGATCTAGTGACGACGAATTTACTGATTCGCATCACCATTCACGATGGGAAGATGATTGACAGCGAAACGAAAGCTAAAGAAGGTAGCTACGCCGTCTGCAACACCTGCATCGTCTACAATACGTGTACCACCAGATTGATTGGTTTTCATTAGCGCAGTCATGCAAGGTCAAGGTCAGAGAAGTGGGGTGATAGTTATCGAGAAAATGAAACAATCTACTACAGAAGAGGCTCAAAACGGCACGACAAAAGAGTGACAATTGAAAGATTCCCCTTCCCTTCCCTTCCTTTTCCCCAAGGTCTAAGATCTGTTGATTGTTATGTTGGAGAGCTACTATGGTTTCCGTGTTGCGGCGGCAGTTGCTGAAGAATGGCGAAGACTGCCACTGTGGAGAGAGTGGAATGAATTAAGGAAGACGAATAGCTGTAGGTAATATAGTATAGGCTTGGATATAGGTAATAGGCCAGCTTTGTTAGTATCGGCACATGGTATTGTTGACAAAGGTGATGTCTCGGATGCCATTTTGATTCCATTTTGCTCCTACGAAAAATTCCAGGAGTCGCTTATTGGTAGAATTTGCGCGCGAACCCAATATTTTCCGTACATCATCTGTTTCTGAACCCATTGCGCTTGCCTGTCAATCACATCAATTTTCCCTTTCATCGGCAATGGTGAGCCCGAGGCCAAGGAAAGCATCACCCTCTAGAGGAAAAGTCGTGGGTCGTGGACATTCTCTGCATGGTGACCGTATCTATATTGTTTGTATGAAGCGATATGGATGCATTTGCCCCTTTCACCTCTGAAATCACTGCTAAAGAACCTCAACAAGGTACGAAGACTACTTTTAGAGAGGTTTCGGGACGTCTACAAAGTCCCAAGGCAACATAGAGCTAGAATGTTCTGCGGAAGTTGCTTATCTTATTATCCTAACGGTAATGATACCATTTTATATTCTCTATCTGGGTTCCTACAGGACGATTTTCAACAGAGACCATTGAGCTGCAAATTTGTCGGTCTCAATAAAATTGCACGGCCTGGACCCCATGAGTAGAGAAAGTGGAATCAGAGGTTGTGGCAACCATGTTGATATATATGTTACGTCCGGAGCAGCAGTAAAAAATGTTGAACATCTTTTTCTGGGCCTCAATCACACAATAATCTACCATGATTGGTTCCGTTGGTTGCTTGGACTGGACGGATAGGTGTCAAGAAGACGTATTTTCCAAGTGCAACTCATATCTACCATCAAGACAATACCTACACCGAGACTCGTCCGCAGTGTTGAACTACCAAAATTGACGATTTGGAGCACATCAAGGTGCCATGGAGCAATTGTTCCCCTCGTTTGGACAAGCCAGTGTGGACGCCCAGAGAAGTAAAAAGTGAAGCCCATGTTGTGGCAAGCGTATTTGATAGATAGACTATGGCTGGAGCGGCCATTCATACTTCTATTTGCCTCAGTTACACTACAATCTACCCTGTTTCGTTCGACTGGTTCTGTTGGGCTACCAAAACTGGTTGGCAGAAAGTCAAGAGGCCAACGCCTCCCATTCAACATGTGCTGGAAAGCTCGGCAGTAATCCTACCTACTCGGGGATCCATTCGGTTGTGTTTTGTTATGAATGCTTGTTGAGATATTGGAATTCCAGTGTTTGGTGCTGTCTGTTCCCCTTTCAGCATGAAGGTCGGCGTGGCCGCCCTGGAGACAGCCAACCATTCAACAATACACCAGAGCCTCCCTTGGATGCCTATGGTTCAAATTTTCTGGGACCCAGGCAATGGTTCCGCCTAGATTAAGAATCATGCCGCCCAAACAGGGTCAGAAATCATGGAAATCTGGTCCAAAAAGCCACTTGGTGGTGGTGTGGGCCGGATTTCCTAAAAATGGCTTGTTCTAACACATATTTGTCGTCCATGGGTATGCATGAGAAGATTGGTGGCTTTGGAGTGGACATTTTCTAGGTAAAAGTGATTGAATAGCATTCACACTGCTTTGGGGATCAATCCAGGTTCATGAAACAATGTGGCTGGAAACCTTCTCAGTAGCCAAGTCGATACCCTGACACGATGGCACCAAGTTCAAAGTTGGTCAAAATATATATAGTAATCGAATTTGGGTGGTGGTTTGGAGGGCTATGGCGGAAAAACGAATCTAGGATAGCATAAATTTTTTTCTCTCTTTCGTACTTTTCAATTGACTTTGTGGAATGGCCTGAAATAAGATCGATATACACAAAGATCTCTAATTCAGAGTGGACCCAATCCTAGCAAATATACATACTTATAATATCGCATTGAAATTTATCTAAGAATGTAATCGCAACAAGGTCGTATGGTACGAGATCAGCCTCTGGCCTCTTGAGTTTTTTTTGGCAATCACACCAGTCAATATCAAGTCAATTGAGTCAATTTGACTAACGGCTGTTTTTTTAGCCGTTACCAGAAAGTTGTTTTCTGCAGTGGAGCCCATAACACCTCCTATGAACTTGGAATTTTTTACAAGGGATGGGCAAAGTATTCTCTAGCGCTGTGAAAAGTTTTTAGGTCCGTAGGTGTCTTTTGAAATTTTTGCTTTGTCCCAAGAATTCCAAATTCCACCCGAATTTTGGGGGGTATTTCGTGGATCGGGGCCTTAAGTCGCCTATTCACTCTTGCCACGACTTCATCTAAAGCACTTTCTGATGCGCAACGCACCGAGTACATTTTTCGATGCTATTCCCGTATTCGTCAGCCGCTTGAATGGGCTTCTTGGGTCACCACCAAGATTGACCTACATGAAAGTACCGGGCTGCTTGGAACTGCAGGCAACAAAAGCAATGAACTGATGAACGCTGCTGTATTGAAGGCACACAAGTTGTCCCTTGACAACGGTAGTGTCTACAAATGGAAGAATGTTTCGGCACACGATGACATTCAGGCCATGATTGCTGAAGGCTACAAGAAGCCACCACCCAAGGTTCCCACGAAGAAGAAAGGTGACCCTACGCCACCTGATGATGATAACTCAAAGTCCCTTCCTCCTTTCATTTGTCATTTCAAACAACCTGCCTCTGAAGGAGGAGCCACTTACCTTGTTGGAGACACCAAGAAGTACAAGAATACCACTTGGTACTTCTGTGATCGTCCCAACCATCGTGAGAGAGTCAAATGGCACACTCACAAGGCCACCAAATGTTGCACTCGGCTCAAGTGGAAGGAAGACAACAACAACACCACTAATGATGATGGAACAGCTGCAGCCGGAACTGAGACTGAACCGACTGACGACTCTACGACTACAGGAGGAGGAGCTCCATCTCGGAACCTCCAAGCTTTGCTTGCTAATGCTATGAGTATGGTCGCTTCTGGCAATGACAAATTGGCCAACTTCCTTGGTGAGGCAATGGCAGCAGCCTCCGCCAACAATTGATGGTTATGCCATTGCATTTGTAAGAGAGTCTGCTCAGTTTTACTTTGCATATTCTATATTCGTTTGCTATGGCCCTTCACTGAAACTTTCAGCCTCAATTTTTGCACCTTTGTTGTCTCCACTTTGGCACGGCGCTTCCATTCCCTTCACTACTTCCTTCCCTTGACCTACTTGGTCCTCTCGAATGTCCTTTCCCTTTGCTACCTGGTCCTTGCTACTTTTCGGTATTATCACATTCCGCTCTTGATCCACAGGATCACCCTCGCTACCTGCTCCATCTACACCTACATCATCTACACGCCATTGCCTTGGCCCCTCGCCGACCTATTCGGCCAACTCCTCTCCTTCTTCTTCGTTCCATTGGCACGGTGCAGGGACCGCCTTTTGGAACATTTTTCTACAGCCTACTTGGCCTTTTGTACAGTGCGCTACTACTACATTCCTTATTGGCTCTCTGTGCGATAGATAGAGAGGGAGGATGCCTACCTTGGGCCTCTTCAGCCTCGCCTCGCCCCCTACTTTCAGTCTCCTTCCAAGATGCCCAAGTGACTTATTGTGGGTCTACCATTGCCACATTGTCCAATGTCCGAATTCCAACTCAATGGTGTTGTCCTTATGCCCAGAAACATATCAAGCAAGTCCGTCTAAGTCCAAAGCACTCCATCAAGCGACCACAACGCTCATGGACCAAAGTGTTCTGGTTCTTTTTGACGCTTCTTGGACTGCTCGATCGATCTCAAGTCTATGCGATTCCTGGGACCTCTCCTGCATTGGTTCCAGGGATTTCAATGTAAATTTTGATGTTACACTTACAATTTAAATCAAAGAATAGTAGTAAAAGTCTAGTAAAGGTCAAGTCTCAAGGTGTTGAAACATAAAGTCACATTAGAGTCATTATCATCTATATCAAAGCATTTCACGTGGTGTCGGACAGACGGTAGTAGCACATTACCAATATTTGGTCCCCTCAACCTGTAATTAAAGTAATTCACAGGTTGTTAATATGTCCAAGAGCCAAACAACTCTTCCCTACGCATCTGCGTTAATCGCTTTGTGAAAGCATCTGCAATATTCAACAATGCCGCAATCCAAGAAATATTCACGGCTCCAGCTGCCACATTCCATCTCGTGTAGTGGTAAGCAATCAAATTATGCTTTTTATTCAAAGTCGACTCAACAAGTGTCAAATTCTTTACCACGCTTTCATTATCACACAAAATGTGTGTTGGTTCATCATCCAATGGTATCCTAAACATACATCTGGATCAGCATAAGACAAATAAAAGCCCAATTCTTCCAATGTCTTTGCGAAATTTAAACGAAATGCCAAGGCTGATGATTTTAGCCCGTAAAGTGCTCGCTTAACAAGAAACGTCTTGCCTTCTTCATCTCCAAATTCAGACCGTTTATCTCGGTCAGGTACCTGTTGGCCAGGTCTTGTTTGAGCTCCCCGAGACCGTTTGGGATTGGCTCTCTTCAGAATGGACATGGCAATTCCATGCTGCTTGAGGGCATTCTTCTTCGAACAGCGCACCGCTGACTCCTCATCCACTGTCATGGACGATGAGCCTGCAGCCTTCGCAGCATCGTTGAAAACCTTCTTTTCTGCTGCAACTTCAGCAACCAACTCCTTCTCGTTGGACGGAGTCCACAGAAAAGCACCTCCACGGCGTTCAAAGGTCTTGATGGCCTTGAGCATCCATTTCGCATAGGCCTCATTAGTTTCAGTGGCCTTCTGCTTCCTGGTTAGGATCTTCTTGAGAGAAGAGTCCAGTGCCATGTCTTTGGGGGTCACTCCCACATAATATCCAGACATGATATTGCCAATGGTGTTCAGCAGCCACAGCAAATCACTCTGGCTAGAAGCCTCACCGTGACCCTTGCTGGCCTTGACCTTGTTCCTCAGTATGGAGGTCATGTGTTGCATCACCTGGTTGAAAAGAACACTGATGTTGTTCTCCAGATGATCCATCCTTCCGTAGTACTTGTCCAGCGCACGCTGGTACCAATCCTTGAGAAACATCTTCTTTGCCTTGTCCTCGGTGATCTTCTCAGGAGCTGTGATCTCCGGCTCCTCCTCATTCTCCATCAGGTCGCTCACGTCCGACCCGTTCGGCCAATCTGCCGCCACTCTGGCTCAAACCTCTCTCATGAAGTCCTCCAGATCTTGCTCTGTGCCACCCTCTTCTGGTGCCTGCAGCTTCTCGAGCCCTTCCATAGTCGCAGACCTGTTGTATCCCGACATCATGATTCTGCGAAAACCTTCCCTTGTTTTGCTCCAATTTCTCCTTTTTACTTTCCCACTTTCTTCAAGTTCTTTTCTTCAAGTTCTTTGGGATTCTTTGTACCGTTCCTTTGTTTGTCTGTACGGTCACAAAGTAACTACCGATTGCCTTCACTGTTCCAACCGGCTCCTGACCTTTCTTCAGCTTTCCGATCAGCACTTTGTCGCCAATCGAGAGCGGAGTTTTCTTCTCCCTGCTGTTCTGCTCCGGTACACTCCGAATGTCCTGTTCCTCACCAATATCAATGATCAATTCACTTGAACGTGATTGTATCTGCTGTAGTTCAGCTACAATTTGCCCTTTGTTTTTCGTGGGCATATACCGTTCTTGATGAGACTAATTCAGAGATCAATACTCGAAAGTTCTATACTTTCGAACAGTCTAATGTTAGACTGTAAAAAACTCAAGCGTTACACTGTAGCAATAAGCCTTTAGTTATCTGTTACGCTGTCTTATCACAATGAACCTAGAACTTGTCAATGAAACTTCGTTCTTGCTTGGATTAGACGTTTCGAATAAGACCTTGATCAAAACCTCAAGATCAAGTTCTTCTCCAAAAAGTCTTACTGTGTAGAAATCCTACCATCCATTGCCATTGGAAAAAGCAAGATCTCTAACTTTTGAATCATCAAATAGAATGAGATCCAGCAAGTATCACCTACATCATGATGTAGGAATGCTCGAAAGGCGTGAAAAAATGTCACTTGGGTGATGAAAAAGGCAATTTTGTGTTTTCCAAAAAAACAATGGTGATTTGCTTTTGTTTCTCTGGAGCCTTTGTAACTGACTCTACGCTACCGCAGCACATTTATTACTTGTTCCTTTTAATAAATTTACTATAGATTATTAATGGACAATATTGCCTGGGGCGTATTGTAGCTGACTCTGCAATCCATTGTTTGATACATCAATAAAACTGCATTGTCGATATTTTACTCAAAACAGCTCAATTTAGCAAATCGTTTTGAAAAAATCCTGTACACTATTCCTGGCATATTAGTGTAATATCACATGCATTCAGATCTTGAAACGATAGTGTTTGGAAGTCACAACCCAACACGGATGTGTCATCATTGCCAATCTTTTCCATGTTGAAGTCGATTGAGTCGTTTTGGTTCCCAGGTATTTCGGAAAAACTGGATTTCCGCACAGAGTCTGAACGAGTCAGATCTATTGGAAAATATGACGGGTGACGTTCAGACGATGGATTGAGAGTGGTTAGGGGACGTTGACGATTTGCGCCGCAAATAATCGTCCAAAGTTATTATTTTTTAGTGTAGCTACGGAACGTATACAATGGACATAGCAAATATACAAGTAGAGATAGCGGAGTCCAATCAAAAACTAAAGAACTGTGAGAAGGAACTGATTGAATGTAAGGAGAAACTGAATGAATGTAAGGAAAAACTGAAGGAATGCTTGGAAGCCCAAAACAACTCAAATAACGATGAGTACTTCCAAAACGAAGAATCAACCTATCGACGTTTGAAGGATTTGTCTCCGGAGAAACGGTTGCAAACACTGCAGGATGAGGAAAAGAATGTGAGTGCGAGGTTCACAGCTTTGGAGCAAACAAGGGCAGCTTTGGAGCAAACAAGGGCAGTTTTGCAGGGGGAAAGGCTCCTGGTACTGCAACGGAGTGCATCCAATTCCGAACAAGGACTCTTTATGAACACTGAGGCTCGGCATAAATCAGACCAAGAAATGGATTCCAACCTTCGTTTCACTAGAAGTGGAGCGTCGAGTCGACTCAGCTATAAAGGAAAAGACGCAATCGTGGGTCTCTGCTGCCCCCGTGATCAAAAACCTTCGATAGAATTGAAAGATATAGAAGGATATGAAGATCTATGGAAGCAGGCTGAAGGAGATGGTCTAGAGTTTGATGAAGATGGTGCCATGGATGACGCCACAAGACGTCGTGTAAAAGAAGCGCTGCGGAAGAAGTTCCCCCATTCGTTCGAACAAAGGTACTTTGGAGTATCGGTAGAGTTTCTAGTGCAAAAGCACGTTCGCAGTCTGGACGGAGTGGGCGAAATGTTTTTGCACTAATTTGTATACAACTTGTTTTCGGGGGTGTTACTATCTGCATGCTCTAATGCGGCAAACTACAAAGCAGATGAATCAGTCTTGTCCTATCTGCATGGTAAATGTAGAGAAAGCAAGCTCGAAGATTGGAAGTTTTGTGATTTTCAATTCAAGCCTGATGCAGCCAGCACAATTTCCGAGGGTTGCGACGCGTTTGCCACAATGGAGCTTGAGACTTCGAGTTCATGGCGATTTGACGTGCTAGTTGACGAGGAAAAATCAATCACATTGCTTTGTTCTACGTTGATATCGCTGGAAAGACAAGGGGTTGACACATCGATGCTGCACTTTCCATTTGTTATTGGAAATGGTTTGAAGGCAATTCTGTATGTTGTGCACTTTCAACAGCGGCCACAGGAAAAGAAAACGGTACAAAACAATGCAACGAATGATACGGAAGGTAAAATCCCCAAGGTATCAAGCGTGGGAGCATCAGAGTACAATCTGGGGAATGACAAGGATCGAACGGAACTCTTTTTTGCTCTTTGTGTCCTGTTGCACAACATCAAGGAGACTTTCAAGAAGGAAAGGGATAAAATAAGTAACTATCAAAATTTGTGTTCGGGAAAGCAACCAGAATTCGAGAATGCGTCCTTTTCCAGAAAACGCGGCCAAAGTAGTTCCAGAGATACAACATCACGTAAGAGCTCGGCCACCAAGAAAAGAAAAAGTGAAGCGAACGAAGAGAATAAAAAGCGCAATGAAGATCTTGCCGCTCAGGCAGCAAGTTGCAACGGGTTGTTTCGTGGCATCGAGTTTCCATGGCTTCGAACCATTGTTGATGAAGAGGACAGCTTAACTATAAAATATCAGGAGAAGTCTCCGTACTATTTCCATGGCATGGATGTAAGCACTGGGAGAAAATGCTTCCTGAAAGTATGGCGCGAGGACGAAGAAGGCTTTGTCGACGCAAGGACAGAAATGCGATTCTTGAAGCAAGCTCAAAATCATAATGTCGCGGTGGCAAGAGCGATTACTGATGAGGTTATACCTGTGAGTGTAAATGGTTTCAAGTTTGCAGTTTTGGTAACAGAGTACATCAAATCATCACTGGTGTCCTCTGTTGACGAGCTCGTAGACTTTTCGCTGTCATTGATGGGTGTTGTCAACGAACTGCATGAGAAAGCTGGCATTCTACATTGTGACATCAAGCCAAATAATCTTTGATGGCACCCCTCGTCTCGGCAAGTTTATTTGATCGACTTCGGCCATGCCCAACTGGTTGAGGGGGCAGAGCACTACAAGGCGACAAAGGATTTTGAAGCTCCTGAAATCAGAGAAAAAATTCTTCCTCATAGCCAAGAAACCGACACCTACTCTGTTGGCGCTACCATTCTATGGGCTTGCGATCGCGTTGGGAATGACTCTCTTGACGGGAGGATGAAGAAAGTCCGAAAGGTTGGAGAGTCCTTGTTGGCACCCCTTCATGAGCGGATGTCGCTGAATGATGGGATTATTTCTTTGCTCCAAGGATTGAACGGGTCCAAGTATGCCGATGGATTACTGAGCCCCTGTTGCACACGCTTGGACGGTACTCCCGTTAGTCGTTGCAACAGGATTGCGCATCTCGATTAGAGTTGTCGTCGTAACTTCATTTGAAAGAAGTCGAAAGGCAGCAAGACTATAACCCCTATGAGATAATCCTGGAATTCACTCTCAAAGGTTTGGTGGGCATGATAGGGGCAAAAGAAGTGACGAAGTATGCCTTGGGGTGACGAAAATGCTTTTGTTTCTCTGGATCCTTTGCAGCTGACTCTATCCTACCACCTAACATTTAAGACTTGGGCAATATGCCCTAGTAAGTACAGTAACAAGTCTTATCGATGATTTAACGCATTTCACTACCTGGGCTCTATTGCATGTTCGAATCACTGACTACTCTACTCATCCCATGTGATATTTTCATGATATGTTAGATGACAATATCCCGATCAGTTTGTGATAGTTATCATGTACCGATCTAGTAACAAACGCGCATACAATCACGCGATATCAGCCATAATATGAGATGACGTATGCTGAAAAAACAGGTGACGGATTAACTCTGGGGTCAGGAGAACCCCTTTTCAGATGCAGTATTTCCTGCGCTTTTGAATTGTCTCTCCAAAGTTCTTCATTATGTTGGTCTTGAGGAACTTCATCTTCTTTTCTGTTTCCAGCAGTCATGCGTTTCCTGACCAAACTGTAGTGGCATGCAACGGTCTTGGCCTCTTTGTCCTTTACTTTGTCCATTTCATCACCAAGTTCATCAATCAAAACCTGGATAGTCTTTGGCCCATTGTGGTCGTCAGGCTGGAATTTGATTTGGGCAATAGCATCCAGGAGCTTGCCTCTCTTGGATAGCTCGGCATCAAATGACAGAAGGAGATTCCTAGCCCTAACCCCAACCCCAACCCTCAGACAACTTGCAAATGACACTCAAGTCTACAACCTCTGGTTGGCGAGGTTTCTTTGAAGACTGTGTCAGAGGATTTGCGGATTGTTTTCTTTTGGTAGGAGTACTGCTCATGAGGGGCAGACAAGAGCAACAAGACAAATGGTTACAGTGGTGATTGACTTGCGTCTTCCTTCTGTTTTCATTTTTTTAAACGACTATGTTTGTCGCTGAGACGCGTGTTATATAAATATGGACGTCGGAGTGGACAAAATTTGAATCAGCAGGTCTGAAAATAGATTAAATTGAGACTATATTAGACAACTATTTCAAGTGTGTCTCACTACATTCACCGTCAAGTGTGGCCAAACACACTTGAAATAGTTGTCTAATTTAGTTTTTATTTACACATGTACATTTCTTACGGTTTCCTACGGGGATGCAAATGGAGAAAATGGAACGGCAGAAGGGGTTCTGATGTGTCCGTTTCATTTTGTCAGTTGATCCTTGCAGGGTGTTTGGTCAAAGCAATTCCCAGGAATGGTTAGTTCTCATGAAGGCGTGGTGATGTAAGAAGGGTAGAAAATAGATCAGAGAACATGAAATTCATGGGATTCTTGAGATGTTGACAGGCATCCGGTTCAAGAGGAAACTGGAAGTGGCATTCAGCAAATCGTGATAAAGAGCAATTTTTAAACATTAAGTCAAGACAATCATTTTTTGTACATTGTGGTGTATGGGGAGCTGTAGGGTCTCGATGGTTTCAATCGAAGTGGAGTTTGGGAAGAGGTGTGCACTGAGTTGTTTTTTGTGTCATGTGCTGCTGCAGTGTTGTGTGTGGACGGCGTGCAGATTTGGGTGCACACATTCGAACCAAATATTGTAGGGAGGGGGGAAATTCTATACGTTGCGTACAATTCATGCCGTTAAATGGAGGGCATTTATGTAGGTAAATAAATCTGACAGTTATATCTAACACAGGGAAAATTTGAACGGTTTTGGCAGATAGAAGGAGCCGTTAACGGCTCCTTCTAATTCAAAAATAGAAGGAGCCGAAACGGTTCTGTCTAATATATGGGTTAACGTTCTGTGAAGACCTTCGGAGTTTGGCTGATGTCCGATTTGCCTAGTGTGAAAGTACTTTGATAGATCCAAATCCACGATCACAATAAACCACTTCCGCAGAAAAAACATTGCAATGGCACCGCAACATTATTCTGGCATGCAATTCAGTCACAAACCAGTACAAAACACACATAACAATCAAACAAAGGAAAATACATAAACTTGTGACTATACGGATCAAACTACAAATACGGGCAAAATATTGGTCCCCTCAATGTTGTAAGGATGCAGTATCATAAAACATTGCAACCTCAGCCAGTGTACCTCTATAGAGCATCTCAATGCGCACAAATTACCTTTTCAGAATGAAAACCCCAAAAAAGGAAAGCGGTCTGGTCTTTGTCCAGAGTTTTCCTTTGTTAAACAGGGGGCCTTGTGCGCAAGCATAGTTCCCTTCTCTTTTTTTCACAGTTTACTCCCCCTTTGCACAATAATTTTTTTGGATGACTTTTGCAGGTCATCTATGACCTGCACAAAGCCATCTATCACATTTGCAAGAACACCCATCACCAGCACCCTTTTCCTCATAGCAAGAAAACTTTGAAGAGCTACCTATGCATTGTGCTCTTTGACAAGCCCAACTACTAGCTCACCGTCAAACTTCTGCTGATCACAATATACTCTACCTGAATTACATGTTGGGTGTGTGTTCTGCACATTATCACCATGGAGAACAAAGGCACTAAAATCAGAATGGAAGGATTGTGTCACAGGGCCTGAAGCAACATTTGAGGGCTTCTCTCGGCAGTGATTGGAAGAAGCAACGTTGCTTTCAAGTTGGCTACAGTGAATTATTTGCTTCCGTTAGCAGTATTGATGATTTCAGTCAGTCTTTTGTCTGCAATGCTACCAACTCTACCACAACCAACCATCTACAGGATGACACAGTCAGCGAGATGACAAGTTACACAGGTTACAGCAACCTGGAAACCAAGCCAGGACAAACATCCAACAAAGCAAATGAGTTGTTAGGCTTTTTGCGGGAGTCGAATCTGCTTAGTGGATTTGAAAAAATTGCCTCAAAGCACTTGTTTCAAAATTGCATTTCCGCTCATCAGCAGCTGAAGAAGGAGACCATCAATAGCCAGACGTGCCCCTCCAAGCTTCCACCCATTGTATCCAAAGAGGGTCTGATGAATTTTGTTCAAAGTCATCTCAACGACACTTTGGACCCCGAATTTCAGAATGACAATGGCAACGAAGATGCCTCATTGGCCAGCCTTCCGTCATCACTGGGAATTGAAGAGGAGGATAGATCAATAGTTTCAAACGCACAAGTAAATGATGGCTCATTTGTTTTTGATGTGGACTACGGATCAAACTACGGAACTAGTTATTTGCCTAATAATATTGCAATGCCCGATGCTGCTGCCACAAATATTGTTGCAGAGCCTCCAACTCTAACAGAGGATCTGATCGATTCTCAAAAAAAGCACACCTGGCAGGCATACTCCCCAAAGATATTAGATCCCACTGTGGCAGACCATGACAAAGCTTACTTCCAAGAAAGAAGCCACTACATCCTGGTGAATGCCTTTCATGACATCTGCTTTGGGGCGAATATGTGCAATATTCACCTTGCCACTCCTGGGGAAACTTTGCACATGCATCAGAAGGGAGCAATGGTAAGAGTCGTAGAATCACTTTGAGAACTCATATATTCGGCAGGTCCCAAACCAGCAAAGAAAAAGGGGATAACTAATGCCAGGGATGATGATGACGACGCTGGTGCTCACCACAATAACAACAACGACGAGACTTTCCATATGAAAGCTGACTCGTGGATAAACCGCCCATCTACTGCGGATGGCCTTGACAACCTGGGCCACAGATATGGGATATGTCTCTCACGGCAGTCGGATCGGAAGAGACCACGGACCAAATTCCACAACTCACTCTTTGAGCCCACAAAGAAATGTGGGCATGAACAGGCGGGGGTGTGGTTATGTTTGTATCTTGCAATGATATTCGACAGGGGAAGGCAACTGTTTTTTGTAGAGAGAACCCTCCACCAAACATACTACATTGATCAGGTACAGGTCTACGGGCTTGTCCTTGGCATGGAGCAATGGCTCAAGAAGGAGAAGTATCCGTTAGAGCATGCCCTTGATACAGAATTGGTCGGTAGGATGATTGACAAATACGTTGAATTTCTAGGCGAGACCTCATTCAGGAGAGGAATGGGGGCTCGTCTCATTAAGAACTATCTTTTGTTTCATTTTCTAGACTACATGCTTCTTTGGGGCCCCCCAAGAGGCTGGGACTCTGGTCCCAGCGAGCAAGCTCATAAAACCAAACAGAAACAGCCAGCCCAACAAACACAAAGGCGCCAGTCTACCTTCATCAAGCAATTGACTTTGAGATATGCGGAAAACAGACTTATTTCCAAAGCAGAACAAACTTTTGGCCGCAACAGAGCTTCAGAGAAAAGTGAGGAGACCCTTACCAGTGACGCCATTTTTTTGGGTGGTTCCCAATTCTCTGTAGGTTTCAACAAAAAGGGAGAACCAGCCATGAAATGGATGTGGAATTTCCGTCCACGCGGTGGCTACATGCAGGAAGTACTCAATTTTGTTTGTGAGCGGCTTATGCCTCATGCTCCAGCAGATACAATTGACGGGGTTTCCGAGATCACAATGCTGATTGGGTCAGATAGATTCATCTTTTGGGCCAATCCCAATTATCGATCGTCCTCAAGACATATAGTAGATGCTTGGTACGATTGGGCGAAGTTTTCAGTGCCACACCATCCCAACGTGGAGCTTCCCGGTCAAATACTGATGTTTGTAATGATGCCTTGGGTGGAGGATCAGATTTCCTACAAAGGTATCAAGCTAGCTCCCAACAAAATCCATGCCGTCGTCAATCTTTTCCAAGACCCCCCACTGTCACGGTTTTCCAGGTTTCAATTTGATGATTTGTACCTAATCCCATGTCACAATATTTCTGGCCCAGCAATCGTCGTACCAAACATACTTGAGATTTGACTGGAGGAGGAGTCCAGGTTGAGCAACCAACAGCGACAAGAGTCGAGTTGCCAACACAAACATGCTGCTGCAGACCGGCAGCTTCCCGGGGAACAGCCACTTGGAGAGGGGTACTTTGTGGCTGCTAACCAGACTCAATTGGCCGAAATGATGGAACAGTGGATAACAGATGATTTTCAGTTGTAGACTTAAGAGTAATTGCAGGGTCTGTTGACGCCCAAACTATCTTTGGTTCCTGTTAAGACGCTTGGTGGCCCTCAACATAGTAGTTCCCTCTTCTCTTGTGCGTCTCCTTTTTTGGTTCTCCTGCCATTGCCTTTTTGCACTTTCCTTAAGTTCACGACAAAATACAGCCCAATGTTCCTGGAACTCTTGGGGATCCTGGCCCCATGTCCATTCCCAGTTAGTCCACAAGCCGGTTACTTCAGAGAAAACTCTTGCTCTTGCAAATTCAAGATCCGCCTCACTGATGCGCCCATTGGACAAAAGGAGTCTCTTTTGTATCCAGGATTACTCTGATCAAGTTCCAATAGTTTCAAATCTTCCTCAGTAAAACATCCCCTGGCTTCTATCTCCCGTAGTTTGTTGTCATCCAGGTATCCCTTTTTCAGTAGACGATGATTGCACACCAATTTCCTACGGTAACCCCCCAAAAGATTATCTTGATCCATCCAGTTTCCTATGTGGTCATGATCTTCCTTCAATAGAAAACCAAGCTTGATGTCGTTGTTGTCCAATTCCTTTTTCACAATGGCCCATTCCACGTTCTCCTGCCCTCCAGCTTTCACAATAAGCTGTCCCTCGTCGTTCAAGTTGTACAGATTAAACTTCATACAAGGGTACACCTCCGGCAATTCTCTTTTTTCAGTTTGGTTTGTTTGCCTGCCAGCCAACCTCATCCCATGAGCATATACTGTCGATATCACTCTCCTCGTTCTCACCGCCATCAATTGCAATCTCTCGAGATGACAAGGCTAGACACCTATCCATGACTTGGCTCGCAATGTCTTGTTGGTAATTGCGCAATCCAACACTGTCGGCAATTGTTTGGAGTGGATCGTCCATATTCCTCTTTTCCAGCTCCACTATTCTACTCCCTACCTTCAGTCTGTTGGACTTCACCTGGGGGAAAAAGAAGTTTGTCAGATGCACACCAGATTCTATCAAACCTGCACCAATGGCAAGACGAGTGAAGAGAGACAGCTTGCCAATTCCAAAGGCACAGCCCCAGATGGATTTGATTATCTGACATTGGCCACAAGCACAGAATGATGGAAGAAATTTCGGGTCACAGAAAAACAAAGCACGTGATCGCAAAAGAAGATGCTTTTATTACCTTCTGGTTGCGAGAGAAGGCAACAAAATACTGCTGGATAGGAGTTGCATGTCATTTGGAAGGATTGATCCTCGAATTGGATTACATTGAAAGATATGAAAGAGAGTTTTCCAGTGGAGGTTGCTGACTATGCAAAGCTGAAGGCAATCGATGATGAGCCCGCTTTTGCTTGGTGGGTGCCACATGTGCAGAGGAAACGCGACAGCTTCATTCAAAAGATAAAATCGAAATACTGGGAAAGGACCCACAAATATGGGATTCGTATTCCGACATCTGTGAAAGAGGCAATTAAAATTGATCAGGAAAACGGTGATACAATGTGGCAGGATGCGATAAAAATGGAAATGAAAAATAATCGAATCGCTTTTGAGGAATATAATGGAGATGTTTCCAAGCTTGTTGGATACAAGCGAATTACTGGACATATGGTATTTGATGTGAAGTTGGGCGACAATTTCAGAAGAAAAGCAAGATATTGCGCTGATGGACACAAGACAGAGGCGCCTATAGCATTGACCTACAGCACTGTGGTTGCAAGGGATTTTGTTCGGATTCTGCTGACGATTGCAGCTTTGAACGATTTGGATGTGCAGTGCGCTGATATCCTGCCTTTTTGATGGCACCAAATCTTGAGAAGTGCTACATGATCGCTGGACCTGAATTTGGAGATGAAGAAGGCAAGACATTTCTTGTCAAGCAAGCACTTTACGGGCTAAAATCATCAGCCTTGGCATTTCGTTTAAATTTTGTGAAGACATTGGAAGAACTGGGCTTTTATTCGTCTTATGCTGATCAGATCCAGATGTCTGAATATTCGTCTTATGCTGATCCAGATGTCTGGATGTGAGCGGCTGTGAAACCTGATGGCAAGGAATATTACAAATATATTCTATGTTATGTTGATGACATCTTGTGTATGTCCGAAAAGGCAAAATATGTGATGGAGCAAATCAGCTATAAGTTTAAGTTTAAAAAGGGAAAAATCAAACCGCCAGAAAGTTATTTGGGTGCTGGTGTGAAAAAGAAGGATCTGGATGGTGATGACATGTGGACTATGTCCAGTCACGATTATGTTGTCGCTGCAGTGAAGAATGTAAAGGAGACGATTACAAAGAGCAACAAGTGGAAGATGCCTAAGAAGGCAGTGACGACAATGACAAGTGATTATATCCCAGAGTTGGACGGATCACCCAAATTGAACGCAAAAGACCATACCTATTACCAGGAATTGATTGGAATCTTGAGATGGGCGACTGAGATTGGAAGAGTTGATATTCTATTGGAGATTTTGCTATTGAGTCATTATCAGGCAACGCCAAGAAAGGGTCACATGGAGCAGTTGTTGCGGATTTTTGCTTACTTGGATACATATCCAAAGTTGACATTGTACTTTGATTGGAGGCTGCCAAATGTCATTGAAAGGAGACTTCCAAACCCTCTATCGCGACGCGAAAGAAGAGATGCCGGCAAATATGCCACCACCAAAAGGGAGACGAGTTGGAAGTTTGGCTTGGGTAGATGCGCCTCACGCAGCAAATAAGAAGACCAGGAGGTCGCACACGGGATACGTTATCTTCTTGAATATGGCACCAATTATATGGTACAGTCGGAGACAGAATACGGTTGAGGTGAGTACATTTGGAGCTGAAGTTATTGCATTGAAATCGTGCATTGAAGCGATCACTCATTTATGATACAAATTGCGTATGTTTGGGATACCATTGGACAATGAACCAACACATATTATGTGTGATAATGAAAGTGTGGTGAAGAATTCGACACTTGTTGAGTCGACTTTGAATAGAAAGCATAATTTGATTGCTTACCACTACACGAGATGGAATGTGGCAGCTGGAGTTGTGAATATTTCTTGGATTGCAACATTGTTGAATATTGCGGACGCTTTCACAAAGCAATTGACGCAGATGTGTAGGGAAGAGTTGTTTGGCTCTTGGACATATTAACAACCTGTGAATTATTCTAATTACAGCTTGAGGGGACCAAATAAAGGTAACTGTGCTACTATGGTCTGTCCAACACCACGCAAAATGCTTTGATATAGATGATAATGACTCTACTGTAACTTTATGTTTTCAACACCTTGAGACTTGATCTTCACTAGACTTTACTACTATTCCTTGATTTGAATTGTAAGTGTAACATCAATTTTTACATTCTGCCACCAGATATGCCGGAAGCTCTTGGACTTGCGGTAAAATTGATGATGTTTGTCGATGCCTCACATGCTTCTAACCTTGTCACTTGCCAATCTCGAACAGGAGTGCTAATTTTTGTGAATTGTGCTCCTATCATTTGGTATTCCAAGAAACAGAACTCTGTTGAAACTAGCTCCTTTGGGAGTGAATTCATGGCTCTGAATACTGGTCTGCGCTACAAGCTACGCATGATGAGAGTTCCCATTGACGGGTACTGCCACACCTGCGTGGATAACAATTCAGTTGTCCTCAATTCAAGTCGCCCTGAATCTACTTTGAAGAAGAAGAGCAACAGTGTTGCTTATAATTATGTTCAATCTAAATGTGCCACCGATGTTATTCGTATCATCTGGGAAGGTACCAAGACCAACGTCGCCGATGTGTTGACCAAGATTCAATCTGGTACTGAACGTGCTTGATTGGCTGCTTTTGCAATGTATGATGCATCAGTACCACATGACTGCAAGCGGCAGTCGCGTGTGTTACAAGCTTGGCTTAGTCCAAACTAAGGAATTGGAAACGCTTTGATACATCAGTGGGCATGACATTCTTGCGTCGTGTCGGTTAGAGCGTCCTCTATGGAGGTACACTGGCTGAGGTTGCAATGTTTTATGATACTGCATCCTTACAACATCAAGGGGACCGTTATTTTGGGAAGAATGACGTCTGTTATTTGTCCGTATTTGTAATTTGATCTGTATAGTCACAACTTTATGTATTTTCGTATGTTTGATTGTTACGTGTGTTTTGTACTGGTTTGTGACTGAATTGCATGCCAGAATAATGGTACCTTGCACAATAAGGTGTGTGCACACACATAAGTTGACAAAACTCTGACCAATCCACTTTTTGCATCCAACACCAAGGTAAGCTTTGAATCAGAAATGTTCATTAGGCACTGCAATAACATCGTTCAACAAACATGTTTTCTCAATGTTGTTCTTATTTTTCCTACACTATAAACAAATGTGATGAATCTTGCCTTTTCAGTTCCAAAAATAACCGCTGAAGACTCACCAACAAGCAGCAAGAACAATATCCGAAACCGCTGATGGGACCCAAAAGAAGTGCTTACACCCACTTCAGCCGTGACTAGTGCTTTAAACCATATGCTTCCCTGTCCGGACGAGAGTGTCCGCAAAGATACAAGGCCATTCCGATCACGCTTGCATATGAGAAACTGCCATTTGCCGGATCTCCATTCTCGTCTTTTCCAAGGGGTTCTTTCAACGCAGGGGTGTGTTTCTGAGGTTCCTGGTCAATATTGAGGGCTTCAATGATCCGTTCGGTTAGTCCTTTTTGAGTAAGTTTGATAGTCTTGTTGGATTCGTCGCGTTCGATATGGACTCCAAGAAATCCAGCAACAGAATCTTCAATTTCCACTGCAACACCTTGACTTTTCAAACTCTCAATTGCTTCGTTTATGTACTCTTCTTTAGGACTGAAGAACAATGTGTCGTCGACGTAAACAAGGCAGATAACTTTATCTGAAATAAAGAGACATGGATCAACTTCTTCTTGAGATTCGAATCCTGCATTTTCCAGTTTCCCTTTGATGAAATTGAAGAAATTAACGGGCGATTACTTGAGCCCATAGAGGCTTTTATTGAGTTTTAATACCTTTCCTTCTTCGGCGAAGCCTCTGGGCATTTCACAGAAGACTTCCTTGTCTCCTATGGGTGCATGAGTGAAAGCGGCGGTGTATTCAACTTGCTTAGTTTCGAGTCCCAGTACAAGGGAGAGAATTAGGAGCAGGCGGACTGTCTGCCAAGAGACGACCGGTGAGAATATTTCATTTGAATCGTAATCGATCCCATCTTTCTGTCGATCACCTCTCACACAGAACCGTCCTTTCAGTTTTCGAACTTTTCCATCTGGATATCTTTTACATTTGAATGCCCATGTTGACGGAAGGACATTCATTGATTGAAGTCGGGGAACCACTTCCCAGACCTCCATTTGCTGTAGGGTCTCGATCTCCTTGATAGCTGCTTCCATGTAACCATCGGCTAGAGGACCGTTCATAGCTTCTTCCCAACCTGGATTATCTTTGGAATTGGCTTTGGCGGCCAGGATCATTGGATGGAGCCATTCACAGGTTTCTGAATCATTGAACTTTAGAGAAGCGAGAAAACCCTGATTGATGGTAGTGTGTCTCACATTTTGATTTAGAGCACGTAGGCCATACTTCCTTGGCCTGAATCGGCGTCTTCCAGTTCGCGAAGGCGCTTGTTCTTGTACGTTTTGTAGAGTTCAATTAAGAGTTTCATCATCTTCTTGTTTGTCATCTTCTGTAGCTTGATTAGGAATAGAAACGTCTTTAGGAACATTTGTTTCTTCTTCTTGTTGAACATTCTCGTCTTCAGCTACTCCCTCTGGAACTGACAAGTCATCATCAACGTTATCATTGTCATCAGCTTCGATTGCTTCTGAGGGGTCATCTGCGACTTCATTTCGATTATTTTGAACATTCGGAGCTTCCTGAGGCTGGTTGTGAACCGGTTGCACATGAGGTATTGGCGGTTGGTTGACAGGTAGCAGAGGAATTGGAGGTTGCACTGGCACTGGAGGCGCATGACCACCATTACTACCCCCTGGAAGCGGAGCTTGGTGGCGATGCTGGCGGGGCAATTGGTCGCCCTTGAGGATCACGGTCAAGAGTATCACGAACGTTTTCGTACCCAGATTCAACCAAATTGAACCAATGATTAGCATCAAGTTGGTGTGGATTGGCCGCACCCCCTGCATCGGAGTTGGGGACAGTACTGAAGTGGTCGTCACACACAAAATGATATTGTGGTGAGACATGTTTGGTTCTGTCGCAGCAGTTGTTTCAAAGACACGGATTTCTCTTTTAGGTACTGCAATTGCAGGGAGAGAGCAAGATCTGTTGGTTTCATCATGCAGTGATGGGAAAACTTCATAGAAGGGTCTTTCTTCAA